AGAGAGGCACGACACGCAGGCCGTATTCAAAAATCCCAAAACAATAATAAAGGAAAAACTAAGGCCATAACTGATCACCACAAATAAATAATAATAAACACACTTTTATTATTAGTTTAAAATTCCGATAATTAAATAAACTAAATTAAATTTCGACTGATTGATCACACTTTGCAGACTTAGCCGGGGGTTCCGCTGACCGTTCAGCGGACGGGGGTCAAGGGGGCAGCGCCCCAGCGAAAATTTTTTATGAACACTTCATTGTATTTCACGTCGTTTCCTGCACAACTTTTGTGCATTTACAACCCCAACCGGAAAAGTCTGCGGCAATACAACACTTGTACTGCCATTAATCCTAATGCAACAATTTCATGCCGTCAAACACAACTCGATTGATAACTCAATATGATAGATCAACATGTCATTGCTTCACCATACTAACGTCGGATTCCGAAGCGAATGAAAATGATGATCTTTCAAAAAGAATTACAATCCTTATGTGATTGAATGGATGAAATCAAAACAGTATATCCCATATACCATCTTTGCATCAGAATTTCTTATATCTTATATAAAAGTGATCGATCTAATTGTGTAACCTATGGATGATCAATGTATCGCACAACTTCACCATACTAATGTCGGTTTCTGAAGCATAATCAACATCAATCATCCAAATCGTACACAACAGATGCCAAATTTAATTAATCGTTTATTGTTAAATTCATTCTGTGTTTTAATCGAATCAAATACAGAAAAGACGGAAATTTAACAGCTATCAGATCCATGGTTTCGTAAGTGGCTCTGATACCACTGAAGGTAAATTGCGATCTAAACGCAGCGGAAAACAAAAATTTCCTTTAGTGATCCTTACGAATGAGCATGGTCAGTGATAGAATCGTTACCTCTTTGTGGCGATTCAGATCTTTGATGCAGCGATCACAAGCGTTGATGAAGTGCAACGCCTCTACTCAGTCCACACGAACAGCTTCCGGTCACAGTGCTAGCTGCTTACGAACGGAATTATTTGAGTGAGAAAAGAGAATCAAAAACGAAAATGCATCAAGTGAAAGCTTCATCACAAGGGTTCCTTTTATAGACTCTCTTGTGGGCTGCGGGCTAAAAACCCAATTCACATGATCCATAATAATATTATATATTATTATAATAACTATTATTATAATAAATATATTTATTTTATTATTATTTTATAACCATTATAAAATAACAATAATTATTATTATATTATCCGAATTTCTATTTTTCACTTAAGTGCACCGTATCTTACGGTGTTCCTTTGATTTCTCTATCTCTCATCAAACTGTCCTTATGTGTGTGACCCTGTAGGATTTCGTAACGTTGGTAATTATATTAAATTATATATTTAACATAATAAACAGTAAGCGGTATCTAGCAACACATCACTGCTACCCAAGTCACGAAAATGTCATGTGATCTGACAAAACCTTTTTCGTGATAATATATGTTTGTACAATTACCCTTTTGCCCCTATGTCTATATTGAACACAAGGCATACACTGTGTCATCCTTGTCCAGTTCAATATTGGGCCCTTAGACATTTCTCCTGTTATGCAGGATTGACAAATTCCATCTAGGACACTCATGTCCCTCAGCATGCTTCGTGGAGTGCCCATCAACTGTCTTTATGATCATCCAGTTACGGATAATGTTTGATCAGCAATAAAGCACCCGACTCTACATCTAGGGTCCATAGTGGTTTCAGGTCGAAGGGTGGTAATACACCATTATCACCATGAGAATAACTTATGACACTTTGCATAACATACTATGTAGTATTCTCATAGCGGGTCAATCCGGTATAAATATTACTCCTAATATTTATACCTATGTCAAGACTTGATAACTCTTTATCCATGATCCATGAGATGTGATCATCAGTCTATCTTCATAATAGTCTCAATGCTTTTAATGTTATCCCACTTTGCAATAAAGCTTGACTACGGATATTTTAAGAATAATGTCTTTATGTTTAATGGGATCTCATGATTAAGTCACACTTAACATTTCATTAAACAGACTAACTATTCTAGGGACTTTATTATTCTGAAAGACAAACATAATAAAGAAATGCCTTTTATTATTAAACGAATAATCCGATACAAGTACCAAAAAGTATTGGCCTCTAGGGCTTACACCAACAGCATGGGCAATACAACCCTTGGACGAGGATGCCCTAGTTTAGGACCTTCATAAATATAACACTACAGTTTCCAAGTCTATCATATATGTAGGGGCTATGAGTATTGCAAGATAAAATCAAATTGCTTTCCTTATTGGCTTCATAATTGGCATTAGTCCTTTTATCTATTTGGGAGCTCCTATCTTTATAAGTAAGCCAAAGACCAAGTATTTCCAATTAATTGTGGTCATATTAAAAACCAATCTTTGTGCTTGGAATTCTTCTCTTTTATCCATAGCTGGAAGTGTACAACTAGTCAAGTCTATCATTCCTGGATTGCTTATCTACTTGATTCAAGTTTATGATTGGCCTGTTAGTTTGATCAAAACTTTGGAAACTTGGATGACAAAATTTCATTTGGAGCGGAGACATTAAGCATAAGAAGATTATAATTGTGGCTCGGTGGAAATGTTGCAGACCTCTTGTAGTTGGAGGCCTTCACCTTAGATCCATATCCACTATTAACCAAACATTTAATCTCAAACTCCGTTGGGATCATATCAGATCAAAAGAAAGTTAGGCCTCTTTGCTAAAGTATATAGTTTTGAGAAATTATATACCTATTAAGCATTGTATCCTTTCTTCCATTTGGATTTATTCTGAAAGCTCCCACCAGATAGTTATTGAAAACTCATTATGGATCCTCGGTGATGGAAAACAAGTTAATTTTTTTGTCTGATGCTTAGTGTGACCCTCCTTAAGCATAAATTCTTAACATCAACATTTTAGACCATGCTTATTTGACTAAAAAGATTAGTGATTTCATTCTTAACAGAAGTTGGAATACTCCTTCTGATATCATATTGGCCTTTCCCAACATAGCAATATCATCAGTACCTGCCACATCCTTTTTGAGGTCTTTGAGGACTCAAGATGTTGGAGACATCTTTAGACAACCTATTCATTGGCATAAACAAGTTTGGAATCCTAGTGTCCCTCTTTCCAAGTCTTTACTTTTCTGGAGGTACATTCATAATAAACTCCCAACTGATGAAAACTTAGTTGCTAGAGGCTTTAATCTTCCTTCAATATGTTATATTTGCTTCAATAATAATGAAACAACTCATCATATCCTGTTTGATTGTAGCATTGCTTCTCATCTGTTGGAACATTATCAACATGCCTTAATATAGGTACTGTTAAGCTGTGATCTTTGTTGTCACCATCCACATCATCTATGGCATTTGATTAGCTAGAAACAACTATAGATTTCAAAACATCAAAGCTTATTGAATTGCTTATAGAGCCTCCATCATCCATAACATGGCTAGCACTACTTTCCCTTCTATCCCATGCATATCAAAGTTGGAACTCTCCATTAACAAAGCCTTATCAATTAAGTTGCACTCTTCTGGTCCTTTTATCAGTGTTGATGCACTTTGACAACCTCCTTCTCTTAGATGGATAAGAGGAAACTCAAATGACATGGCTTTTAGGACTCCTTATATTTTTTAAACATCTCCATGATCTTATTAGAAGAGATTCTTAAACAATATGCATGACATCCTTGTTGTAGAAATAAGATTTATTAGGAGTTTTAGTTTTGGTCTCCTTTTCTTTTAGTGTTTGATCTTTCTTTTTTTTAAACATTTTTGGCCCTTGGCCCGACTTTAAAATAAAAGTGTAACATTTATATTTATTAGGATTAGGATAAAGATATTTGGAGCATGATATTTACTGATTTCAACTTTTTGATAGAACCTATTTCATTTTTATATGGACAATTAAAATAATTACATTTATTATAGTATTATCTCTAAAAAATTAGATAAATAACTTTTTAAACCAGTTTAATGGATAATTTTAAAAATAAGAAATGCAAATTTAAACAAACAAATAAAAAAATAATTAATAAAAAAATTATATAAAAAATAAAGAAAATCAAAAATTCATTAACGTATAATAATTTCATATCATCATCATTCAATAAACAACGTATATTCAACTATAGTAATAATTTAAAATAAGTTAAATAATTTAATAGATTGATAACTTTTTATTAAATAATAATATAAAATTTATTTATACCGTGTTTGTGTATTAAATATAAAAAAGATAAACAATAGTAATATTTAAATTGATTAAAAATAATGTTGGATTGAAATTAAATGAAGAACCCTCTAGAACAGAACCTAGTAATAATATCATGAAATTTTTCTATTATCAGCATCTAACAAAATTTAAACATAGAGCGTTTCATACGAAGCGCCGTTAACCTCTAACAACGACCTACATATGCAAGAGAAAAACACAGAAAGTGTGAAATGTGAATCGAGCTTTGGTTTGGTCTCAAAACTTTACCTATATAAACCAACAACGGCTACAATAACGCTTTCTCTGCCATTCCCATTCCTCCAAAATCTTACACACATAATCACTTTTCTCGGAAGAGAAAAAATCTCCCCCTCACAGATTATAGATTCATCACTTCTTTCTCGGAATCGCTTCCATTCTTAAGCTTTTCTATCTCCTTCATTCCCCTTTGGTTCTTTCCTTTCGGTTAGAATCCCCTCTCGCTCGCTTTCATTCCTTCTTTCATCCTTTCGAGAGCACCATCATTTTAACACCATACTTTTTCACATTTCCTTTCGCGCTATTATCGTTTTTCATTTTCACTTTTGATAACAACGTTAGGGTTTCCGCATTCAAATATTACTTGTTGAATGTAGTATTTCATTCTGTGACTGTATTGTTGTTTTTTTTTTCCAAGTAAGGTGGAAAAAGTAGTTTTTTTTATTCTTATTAAAAAAAAATTAAATTAGGGTTTCGACATTGAAATATGTCGGTTGCTTTGAGTTCAATTTCGAAAGAGAGGGTGTATTGGGAGGGTCAACCAGAACATTGTTCTGTTGATCCAATCCTGATTTACCTTACTGTTGATAGTGTTGTTACGCCGATGCGGGTTTTGGAGTCGGATTCGATTGCTTCTGTGAAATTGAGGATTCAGCAATGTAAAGGTTTTGTGGTGAAGAAACAGAAGCTTGTTTTTGGTGGCAGAGAGCTTGCTCGGAATGATACACTTATTAAGGAGTATGGTGTTGCGGAAGGCAATGTTCTTCATTTGGTTTTACGCCTTTCGGATCTTCTTTTCATTGTTGTTAGGACTGTTTCTGGCAAGGAGTTTGAGTTTCATGTTGGTAGGCATAGGAATGTGGGGTATCTTAAACAAAGGATTAGGAAAAAAGGGGAAGGTTTTATTGATCTTGAGGAACAAGAGCTTTTCTGTAATGAAGAGAAGCTTGATGATCAGATACTATTTCATGATATATGTAAAGGGGGTGACGGTGTAGTTCATTTGATTATTAAGAAATCGGTTAAGGTTAGGGCTACGCCTATTCATAATGATTTGAATCTCTCTCTTGAGGCTTTGATACCGCGTGAGAGAAGTGATCAAAGAGAGTTACAGTTACAAGTAGAAGAGAATAAGAATAGGAACAAACCGATTCAGATAGGAAAGTTACCACACGGTGTTAGTTTCTGGTTGGAACCTATTGCTGTGAATCCCAAGATCAGTTTTTTGCCTTTCCTTTGGGACATGATTAACTCCACATATGAGGGTTTGAAGAAAGGAAATCGTCCTATTAGGTCCTCGGAAGGAACAGGAGGGACTTATTTTATGCAAAATTCGACTGGCCAGGAGCGTGTTTCAGTTTTCAAGCCCTTGGATGAGGAACCAATGGCTGTCAACAACCCAAGAGGCTTACCGTGTTCATTGAACGGCGAAGGTTTAAAAAGAGGAACAAGGGTGGGAGAAGGAGCTTTAAGGGAGGTTGCAGCTTATGTGTTAGATCATCCAAGGAGCGGGCCGCGATTGGTTTCAGGTGAAGAAATCGGGTTTTCTGGTGTTCCTCCTACTGTAATGGTGCAGTGCTTACACCAAGAATTTCACCACCCAAATGGGTACGCTTGCTCATCAAAACACATCAAGATTGGATCGTTACAGAAATTTATGAATAACAATGGAAACTGTGAGGACATTGGACCCGGGACCTTTCCCGTGGAGGAAGTGCATAAAATAACTGTGCTTGATATAAGAATGGCTAATGCAGACAGACATGCAGGGAATATTTTGTTCAGAAAGGAGGCATCTGGCCAGATTAAGCTCATTCCCATTGATCATGGTTATTGTCTACCAGATAAAGTAAGATTTCTCCTTAATTCCTCTTTTGTATTACATGTTTCATTTTCTGTTTGATATCTTAAAAGTTGATGAACACGTGTTGTAATTACTGCATAATGTTCTTTTAAGCAGCCAATATGTATGTATGTATGTATGTTAGGGCCGTTGCATGATCCATATTTTTCTCTGCAGTTTGAAGACTGCACATTTGATTGGCTTTACTGGCCGCAAGCACTCCAGCCGTACTCACCTGAGACAGTTGATTATATCAATTCTTTGGATGCCGAAAAAGACATTGAAATTTTGAAATATTATGGATGGGATATTCCACTTGGGTGCGCGCGGACACTTCGCATTTCTACGATGCTGCTCAAAAAAGGGGTTGAGCGAGGTTTTACTCCCTATGCAATTGGAAGCATCATGTGTCGGGAAAATTTGAACAAGGAATCTGTAATCGAGGAAATTATAAGCGAAGCAGAAGATTCCTTGCTTCCTGGCATGGATGAATCAGCATTTCTTGAATCTGTCTCCCAAATCATGGATTCCCGTCTCGATAAGCTTGCGCAATAGAAATTTTTCCTTTTTTGCTTTATATGTTTGGTAAGATAATATTTATATGTAATGTAATTCGGTGAATGACTCTAGTCCATTTTTGGATGGACTACTGCAGGTTTCACCAACAAAAATGTCATATGGCTTGATGTGATCTGGACATAAGGCCTGAAGCTCTTTGTTTTTTTCTGGCTTCTCTGAACTGTTTTCAGGATTGTATTGTCATGTTCAACAGAAATTAAAAGGTCTGAATAAGTTGTCTTATACTAAGATGAGATTTTATGTATTATAGGATTGATTGTAGAAGCTTTGACAAAAGAACTGGATTTGTCATTTGTACATAATAAATGCCGTGTTAGATTTTCACCGGAAAAATTGCAACATGTTAGTTAGCTTTTCTCCTTGAATGAAATTTATTCTGCTTGCAGCCAAAAATGGAAAAAGATAATAGCAGTAATGTGATCTGAATATGATTCATGATAGCAGGGATAGTGCACTAGAGAGAAGCCAATGCCAGTGCTTGGTTGTTACAATCATTGCAATCTTATTAGAGATTTGAATCACGCCAAAACAAATGTTCCCACATAATCAGTTGCATTGGATAGGTAGATCATTAGAGCCATGTCGAATTCTCCCTTGAGTTGCATTGCTGTGTCCTTATGCAGGAAATCTGTTATCACCTTTGGTTTGAACATCAGTAGTCCACTAGCTCCAACTAATACAATTTATGTCAGCACCAAGACACATTCTATGTTGGTCAGATTTTCTTGAGATGGGCCAATTTATCTATGGCCACTATTTTGGCTTGCTTTGAAGGGATTACCTTAAGGTGCGACCCACACTTTTGAAAACTCGAAAATGTCTTTGTTGTGTCTGGAGATGCATATCCGGATGCATACAAAATCACACTAGTTCTCGTATTTTAGTCAGCAATTCTATTTTTTCAAAATTTATTTTAGAGATGCATCTCCATATATTATTTGGGGTATATTCGGAGATGCATCTTCATAACACCCCTTTACTTATTTTAATGGAATATTTTATTTTGCATATTTATTTTAATGAAATATTTTATTTTGCATACTTATTTTCTTGATGTCATGTATTCCGTTATATCAAAGACGTGAACAAGAACATTGCTTCACAGGCGAGACCATGATCATGTAAGCTTATGCGAAGTTATTGCATAGATGGAAAGAAATTTTAGAATGACACTGGTATGAACTGCATCCTAAAAAGGTGGTTTTGAAATTCTAGATGTAGTTTTACATTTATTAATAGCTAGCACCCGAGAGGTGTTTTTGGTTCTCTAGTATTACGCATCACACAACCCGTATAGTTTAACATGAATGATTGGTTTTATGCAGAGTTGTGAATGTAAAAGTACCACATTAGAACTATCTTTTTAAGAATTTATGATGAACGCCTATAAGTTAGAAATGTATAACTTTAGTACATAGTGATTAGCGATTTACATAGATGCATCTCCGAATCAACTCCGAATATGTATTTTCAAACTAAATTTTAATTAAAGAAGCGTGTTTAGCAATTTGAGCAGAAGAATGTGAAGAGTCACGACTGTCCTGTTAGCCAAAAAATTTCAATGTGCAAATTCAACAAAGGAATTAGTTGAAATTTCTGCATAAATACAAGACAAGGTTACACACGCCTTTCGACCAGAGACTTTGGAGGAAATCACCGGCGTTCAACGCATGAAGGATTTGGTTTGGTAGTTAGGGAAAATTCAAGATTTGGTTATTCACCAATTCGATGATTTGAATGTGGTTTGACTAAAACAGATTCAAATTCAAACTAGATAAATATCTTTTGGTCTTACCCAAAACACCAAAGTCATGTGGAGATCAAACGAAGGCAAGCAGAGCATGCAAATGTGACATGTCGGATGGAAGATAGTTGAACGTTGAAGATAGTTAGTTTCGTAGTACTAAAAATAAGAATTCTAGTGTAGGATTCAGGGTGGCAAAATTTTGTAAATTCCAATACAAACTCAAAGTACCCACACGCAAGCGAGAACGAATTTGAAAAAATGTACTTGCCTACCATTTCTTACTTTTGCAAATAAAGCTCATTTTTCATTTAATCTATGATAAATTGTTTTCATTTTCCATTCAAGTTATAAATTTTGACTTGGTTGAAATCTTAGATACATTTGCTTTCAAATTCAATCGTTTTTCTAAAGTAGTCAACATTCAATGCAAGCATTTCGACAACATTAATACACACTTCATTTTTTCAGAAATTTAACACAACTTGCCCCAGGATTTACTAGTGTGGCCCGTTAAATAATAAATTTAAAACTCAGTGATTATTTACCAATAATACAGGTGAACATATGGGCATGCCCAGTGGGACCTGTTTAAGCAAAATTTTAAATTATTCCCTTTAAAAAATGTTGTATTTTGTTTCTTTGTTGTGAATTTTTCTTGCATCGAATAATTTTGTCTACATCTGGACTTTTACGTGTTTGAGAATTGGTAGAACTTTAGTCGAATTGGTTTGCCCTAAGAACACACCACTTCCCTAAAATAATGCTCTAGATATTGAACAACATGTCACGCCGACAGTCGGAATGATAAAGAACACAAATCCCATAGGGACCAATGAACCTATCCTCACCTCAGTAACGAGTCCAACGTTGATACCAGGGGTAGTAGTTTCATTTTCTGTTGAAATAAGCATTCCAAATACCCCTAGAACCACACACACTGCTATAGGATATCCTAGGTCTTCTTATATACCAGGTTTTATGATACCACTAGTTTATAGGGATTTTCCTTATTGTATCTGTTCGCACACGGTTTTTGCGCGAACCTCTAGCCTCCTAACGCAGGTTTACTTGCGGCACCAAACAAACAAGTCCCAGAACAATCTGGTCAAGTCTATGTGATGTTGGTAGAATGATTTTTGTTTAGAGTAAGTCGGAAACAAACTTAAAGAAAAAGTGCACACGGATTGCTAAACAAGCAAATAAACAAGTAAAAGGCAAGATATCTTAAAATTTGGTAATGTAAATTGCTTTAAAAAGAAATGTGGGCGCTATTATACATTTTGTAGGAGTGAACTCTTTTCTCTTAACGCTTGGTACTTAGAGTGTATTCCTTTGACCATGTTACAAAATGCGACCTTGTAAATAAAAATGGACATTGCTTTAAATAGAAAAGGAAAATAACTGCTTTTCTCTCAATGTTGGTCTTGGTGGTGACACGTGTTGCTCTACTATCTTTGTAACTTTCCCACATTCTCAGCATTTCAAATTCCTTCCTGCTCAAAGGTTCCCACACTTTATGTCGGTTTCATTGGCCATCGATCAACACCTTCAACGGCATAGTTTTGGGTCGATTCACAATACGCCTCCTGCTGGCATCGACTTGCGATATATCTTTCGTTGGGGTCGACTTGGGTCTTTTCCTTCACCATCTTCCTGACTTGTCGACCTACATGTTAGCGCTTTCGTCAACTTTTCTCTGTCGAAAGCTTCCAGCCAACAAGTTGCCCCCCCCCAAAAGCCAGTTTCGACTGAACACTATGTCGACTAAGAAACTTGGCGTTTTGATTTCCTACGAGATTTCGATTGTACCTTGGTTTTGACCTAGTAACTTAATCATTTTCCTTCCATCGAATTATCCACGCGTCAGGTGTCTGACGTAATAATGACACCTTTCTGTGCCATGATTTTTAAGAAATCTCATTATGCCTAGTCTCATCCGAAGTTATAGGCTTTAACCTACTCCCACTCACTTTAGAATCGAAACACTCCATTGTCATTTCAGTTGCATGCGATTTATGTATAAATACTCCTTACCCACATTTGGTTTTCTTTTCCACATTCTCTCACACTTTCCTTTTCTTCCAAACTTTCTTGCTCCCAAAGTTCTCTTAGCTTCTCTTTCAATGGCTTCTTCTGCAACATTAGTCGCTTCTGCTACTCACACAACTGCCTTCGTCCTCTCTGAAACTGAATCTTTCAGACCCCTTTTCAATCTAACGTCTGCTGATGATACGGTGATAGCAACCTGGCAACGCCAAATGATCATTCCTTTCGCGGTGGTTGGTAAACTACACGCTTTCTATAGGCTGTATCTTGACAAGAAACCTAGTCATGAAGAAATCCAAGCGTTCTTTCCCTGCTACGTTCCTACCATACGTCACGCGTTTCAGAAAGGTGGCACCTTCGACCTCAAGTTCATGGCGCCAAAAGCTAGGGATTTTCGGTCGATGCCCACTCCTGGCAACAAGGATTATATCTCTTGGCTTAACAGAGTCCAAGGCAAGCGTCAAGAGCAATGGAAAGCAACTAGCATCTTCGACGCCATCCAACTCTCTAGGAACGCTCACGGGGTTAACCCCTGCCTATTGATGGCGTCAATGTATTTTTGGGAGGGGTCGACCAACATATTCCACTTCCTTTGTGGTATGTTGACGGCGACACTTTTTGACGTGTCGGCCATCAAAGGCCTTTCTCCTTTGGGCAAAACTTTTGATCCGACTCTAGAAACGACCAACACTTTCAACTTCGATTGTGCTGGTTTTCAAAACTATATCGAGGATCATCATGATAAGGATTCCGACGAAGTGTCGGATGAAGAACACATTGTCTTCCTCACTCTTTGGTTGTCATACTATCTTTTCTATCATGGCTCTCTGGAAATAGCCAAAAGTTACATCAACCTAGTGATCCAAATTCATGAGGGTCGACATATATCATTAGGTAAGCTCTTATTATCCTCCATCTACCATTCTCTTGGTCTATCGACCTTGAGAACAAAAATTCTCCATGAGACCACCAAAGCCTTGAATGTTTTAGGGCCTATGTGGCTGTAATAATATTGGCTTAATGCCACCCTTGAGCACCACCTGGGTTATCCTGTGTCTGCAAAAATGCAGCTTTTAAACTAAGAACATCCTATAGAAGGCATTCGACTTGCTCTGATGACCGCTCAGGAAACCCCCAATAAAACCTATTCATGAAGTATCTCAATATGTTTGCGGAAGCAACA